TCAGAGGTCTACGTATGTATAAGGCCCTCAAAGATCCCTGCATGGGCCCTCAGAGAACATGGACACCAGTGGGACTCTCAGAGGTCGGTTTGGGCCCTCTGAAAGCTTCTTGGAGCTCAGTGGAGCTCGGTAATTGGTAAAAAGAGTTGTTGAACACCAGTTAAGTTTATATAAAGGTAGCTTTCAAAGGCTACTGCCTTCTCCTCACTGAGAGTGACTGAGAGAGAGTGAGACTGCATTTTTTCAAATATGTATTGTCTTGTTATTTTAAAACACTTGAATGGCTGATGAAGAAGGCAGTAGCCTTTGAAAGCTACCTTTATATAAACTTTACTGGTGTTCAACAACTCTTTTTACCAATTAACATGTCCCAGTACAACAACTCTGTCTTTAAAGTACCTACTTAGTGGAGCTCCTTAGCAGCCTGTGTGAAAAGCAAGCTCATGAGCCCTTTGGCACTTGAACGGTACTTGAGCCTGTCGCAGACATTTGACGAGAGTTGAGAAAGGCCCCGAAGATTTCGTGTCACGCTTTGAACGAAAATTATGTGTCAGCACTCCAAAACTTATGAAAATCAGCTATGAAAATGTAATAAAGAACCAACTAGGAACAGGGAATGAATCACAGTATTGACATTTCCGAGTTTGGAGTCGGAGTCTTGAAGATTTTGGCGACTGCGACTCCGACTCTGGTTTGAACTGCACGCTCCAACCGAGTCTGATCTCACAGGCATTCTCAGAAAGGTACCCCATTTTTTCCGGCTCCAAAATCTCATCGGATCTGTATCGATCTTAGGGGATGCCCGGTCCGAGGTTGGGGGGCAAGCGCCCCGCTTGCCCCCCCCCCCCCGTGGCGACGCTAATGGAAGGGCTCAATTTTTTTTTATATGCAGGGCCACTTGACTTGGTGATCAGATCTTAGGTGCTGTGGCATCAAACTTGTTACACGGGCTGCAAAATGTATGTGTTTTGGAGCTGTTTCGCCAAGTGATTTTGCCAATTTTCGCAGCGCTTCGCGCCGCTAATTCATACTCGAGTCAAAAAGAGATCGTGAGTTGTGACTATAAATAAAGCACCCTCACACGCAGGTATCTATGCATTACCTATCAGACTGGTGGTACACGTTAACAGTCATACCTCGTAGAAGACAAAAGGCTAGTGCTGTTACCGGTGTCAAATTGAATCGGACTTCAGACTGTACTGTGTAGGAATTTGGTCCATCACCATTGGACAGATAGTGCATCGGCCTGAAAAAGTACGGTAACAATACCTAGGTTACATTTTTAGTCGGCCGATCCGTCCCCCTGTCGAAAACCCGTGGCGACGCCCCGGAATTAAAGGGACCCTCCCACCTTCAAAAAAGTTAATGAATTGGCACGAAAGTGATGTCGCTCGGTTCAGAAAGAGCGAAAACGAATATCTACCAAATTTCATCGAAAAATATTCACCGGTTTTCAAGATATTAGACTTTTACTTTTGTTTACTTTTTGGGATCTCCGCTGTTCCTAGCGACTTTATTTGAAAGTGCGGCATTTGTTGCGCGCAAAGCAGCATATACCACCGCGTGCTACCAAACGTTTTAGTAAAAGATTTAAAAATCGTTAGATCTCCGCTGACGTCACAAATTCTAAGGGGGCATACCAATGCACTAGCCCCTTAGAATCCGAAAACTGCAAGTTTGAAATTCCATATCTCCGAATTAAAGCATTTGTCGATGTTGTGAGTGCCCAAACCGGTATTTGCAGGCCATGGCCACCAATTTGGCTATCTCAACTCAAAACTAATGTTAAGGTGGGAGTGTCCCTTTAATAGGTACAGGCACCCCAAATATGGGAAGTTTTGCTGCTGACTGCTGAGCCCCCCCTGACAATATCATAAAGTTACACCCCTGGTTGAGACGCTTCGTTGATTTATAAATGACGAGCAATTTATAGATGGCATTTTTAGCGATTGCCGAGCGTGTTTTTACGTCTGTTTTGGTTGCTAGATGCAGTGAACTAACATGAACTAACATGCTGAAGTGACAGTCGCTCAAACTGTAGTCGACAAAAAAGATGTCGCTGAAACATAGCTTTCGCTTAAAGTGATAATCGCTATAGTTGGTAATCGCTCAATTTGATATTCGCTATGTTGCCAGTCGCTGAAAATGGTTCGCTCAAATGACGTTCGCTCAAATGACACTCGCTAAAGTCGCTCGCACCGAACTAACATGGCTCCTTAGAAACAAACCATCTGCGTCGAGCGTCGGCATATACCGGGTGGCCCAGAAAAAACGTTCCCAACTTTAAATCAATATTTCTCAGAAAGTGATAAAGATACAACATTGAAACTTCGAATAGTCAATGCGGCACACATTTTCAGTACCTAAATGGTGTGATTTTCATGTTGTTCAGTAAATTACTTTTTAAACGGTTCGTGTTTCAAGCATGCCATGTAAAAATTACTTTTTTTGCTCCGATGTTTACCAAAGAATGTGAGTGAACGGGTCGCTTTCAACCCGCGGCACCGCGGCCTACAGCCATGACTTCTACTGGCAGCTAGTCTCATTGATGGTTCGGGTCTCAGGATGACACATTCCCTCAGGCAACCACGATGGCTCTGTGCCAGCGGCATCGGAAGAAGTTTCCAGTTTTCTAACCATCTTGTGGCTCAAATGCTTTCCTGGCTGACATTCCTGGGAAAAGGTAGCTTTTCAACCAGTTTTTTTTTCATCTGCTGGCAATGTTGTTTTTTATAAGCTATTCTGTGGTCTTCTGGCACAGGAACCAGTCTGCTTTAGTTTGTTTTCCTTATCCGGTCGATTTACTGTTTGATCTACTGAAAGGAGGGTAATCAGCAGTAGTCCATGCACCGTGCCACTCCTGCTCGAAACATGATTTGGTGCTGAAACGAATGGCATCCATGAGCACCATTTTGGCTCAGTATTTGAATATTTGGCACATAAGTGAGACAAAAATATTTAAGATAAGAACATACATGTTGGTTTCATTCACGTGCTCTATCTCTATATTTATTCCTTTTTTATAACATGTGTGGGACCGATTCCCTTCTTCCATATCATGATAAAGAGAGTACACGTTCAAGCTTTGTTACATAGAAATAACCGTCACTTTCCCCACGTGTCGGCACCGTCCACCGACCCAGCGGGTCGGCGGACCGGTCCTTGATTGTGCAACCACCTTGTATATGACGCACAGGCACTGGCGAATCAGAATCAGAACCACAGTTGCAATACAAGTCTCGGCCCGCTCAGTCGTCTCTCCTTCCGCGCCTCCGCGACAATGGTGGCAGCGGCGGTCGAGGGGACTTGTGCCCCTCACCACGGACCCTAGCCTCTACATCTGCACTGACATCGCAGTCTGGTTAGTCCGTGCTCCGTGACGGTGTATCTCCCGTACGTCACGTCATCGACTAGGGAGCTGACCATCCTGGACTCGTCATCGTCCGACATCACCGTCTCCAGTGAGTAGCTCTGCCCGGCAATACCATCTGCCCTGCGGTAACGTCATCAGCTGCCCTGGACTCGCTACGGAGCCCGCCGACAGCGCACGGCTCATCAGCCCGCGCCGTCCTCCTCACCGTCATCGAGTGATGGACACCACCTCGCTGAAGGACTCAAGATCGGAGGACAGAAGATAAAACAAAAACTTCAACGCTAAATTCAAGACAAATTGGCTCCGAAATCAAGAAAATCCACCCATTATGAGCTTTTGCTGCATTTTCGTCAAAAAAGTGACAGTGAAATTGTGCTGTGAAATTTGTGTCAATTTCGATGTGTTTCAAAACCGTACTGTTTCATTATCCGTTTTCGTCAGTGTTTTGTCGTTTGTTGCGCTTCATTGTGGTTGCTCACCCCAAAATTTACGGAGAAATTGCAAGTGCATTTAAATTTTGCCTGCACTTTGCCGTGTCATTTTGACACTATAGTACCTAAGCATAAAAAGAGCATATTCTGAAGTCGGTATGAACATTCAAATACGTTAATCGTGGTCAATTCACTGAAATTATATTGTATTGATATTCGGCCAGAGATGCCGAGGGCCATGGAGATGCCCACTGCCCAGGGACGGTCCCCGCCAAGAGTGCGGAGGGATCGCCCGGTAGTAGGTGTAATTGTCACGAAACTTACTTAATTGTTCATACCATTTTGTGATACGCTCATATGGAAATTTCTTTCTCCGTCAGCTAAACGTTTCCTCTCTTTGTTATGATCGCTTCGGTTCCCTACGCTTCCCTGGGGGAGGGAAGATAATGTGGGACCGATTCCCTTCTTCCATATCATGATAAAGAGAGTACACGTTCAAGCTTTGTTACATAGAAATAACCGTCACTTTCCCCACGTGTCGGCACCGTCCACCGACCCAGCGGGTCGGCGGACCGGTCCTTGATTGTGCAACCACCTTGTATATGACGCACAGGCACTGGCGAATCAGAATCAGAACCACAGTTGCAATACAAGTCTCGGCCCGCTCAGTCGTCTCTCCTTCCGCGCCTCCGCGACACATGGGACGTCTAACCCAATCATCACTATCGTTTGATATCGGCAAAAAAAGCAAAAATGTCTTGCTTAATTCAACCCAAGATTGCCAGCTTGAAAATGACGGTATAGTGTTATAATTTGGCATACCAACGTGCAAAGAAATGACGCAAACTTGATGAAAATTTTGGCTCGTTATTTGTACTCGAATTTGATAGGTATATAGGCCTCCAAAGTTCGGAACGTTTTTTCTGGGCCACCCGGTATGTTCCGCCGTACAAGCCGCTTGGTTTTATTATAGTTTCGTTTTTCACGTAACCCGTAAACGCAAGATGCTACACGGTGACAGTCACCACGTTATCACTACTTAGCATTTCTACGTAATTTATAAGTGTCTATTGCACTGGGAGGTCCCTGCCTTTTATGTGAATAGTTAACGGTACCTAAACACATACGCGCATTGCATATACCTTGCCCACTGATTTTGTCACCAGATCACGGATGCTGTTTCTTGTTCTCGTTTCAGAGTGAAGAATCGATGGCCTCTGTGCCAAAACCTAAACAATTATAGATACTTATCATACAGCTCCCGGAATGTGACGACAAATGGCGAGTCTGCTCTCCTGCGCCTCCCAGTCGTTCCTTCTGTTCTTCATCTTCATATACTGGGTTTGTGACATACTTCATATGCGCATCGCTGTTCGGATGAATAGATGTCAGTTTTCTTGCAACAGTTTGCATGAGTATTATAACGGTGCAATATAAATGTCCGAGCAAATGCAGCAAACCTATGTCAGTTGTCATCTCAGATTTAAACGGAGCCCAGACGGCTTTGTTTCGCATAGGCGCGGGAGCCGGCTGGCAGTGGGGGCAGCTTGCCCCCCCCCCCCAACTCTGGGGCCGTGGGGGCGGTGCCCCCACAGCTTTGAGACGGAATACCACACTTTTTTTTGCAAATGTTTTCTTTTTTTGTTGAAAAAGCCGAGGGGTGAAAAATAAGTGGCCTAAAACCGGTGAGAAAACTAGATTTGGGGGTACCCAAGGTTAATCTCTATTATGGTGTGCCCCCCCAGTCGGAAAGTAGTTCCCGCGCCCCTGTTGTTTCGACCTGCGACAGAATGCTAGAAGCTCTTTGGCTGTCACCTGCAGCCACTGCTGGGTGATGACCTGCAGTTAGTGCTGACGGTGCTGACCCACTGGTGCTGACCTACAGCTGCTGACCTGCAGTTAGTGCTGACCTACAGCTGCTGACCTGCAGTCAGTGCTGACCCACTGGTGCTGACCTGCAGCTGCTGACCTGCAGTTAGTGCTGACCCGCTGGTGCTGACCTACAGCTGCTGACCTGCAGTCGTCCACCCCCAGGCGTCCGGCTGTGCCCTCCTGCTGCTCGGCACGGCCCTTCTGGTGGACAGCAGTCGGCAGCTGCTGTTCTTCCTGGTCAACATCGAGGATGGACAGCTACTGCTGCCCACCTTCAGGTGTGTCCAGATCTGCAGGATGTTGTCCGGAGACGGTACAGAGTAGCTATCAGTAACGATCCCGTCAGTGGATCTTTGTGTAGCAAAGTTCGCGCCTATCGCAACCTAAGCGCTCTCTTGTTTTATTTTCGAATTTATTCGTATTTACGCTCAAAAAGTAAATATATCGACACATTTTTTTTAAACCCCACATCTGCTCTCCCGTGAATTTCCGGGAGGCACGAAAGATCTCCTTTTAAAAGTGTCCAATCGTCCGATCCTGATCAAATATGTGCGTTCGTAGGCCTGTTCTGGACCTGGTATTGCTTTATCTGCCAAGACAGACAAACTTGAGAAAAATCGAGTGATTGTACCTTTTTTGAAGGTCTCTAACCAACTTGTCTGAAATTCACCGGAGAACAAATGTGGGGTTTAAAAAAAGTGTCGATATGAGTGTTGAGTGAAGGAGCTTTGAGAGGCAAACGTATTGGATAAATCAACACAGTACTACATAAATGTTCGACAAACATATCATTTAACAGATAGTTTAAATCGTGTGCCGAAAGTCAGTGAAGTAAAAACGTATCATGAAAAGTATTTCGTTTTTATCGTTTAAAAAAATATCATATTATCCTTGCAGTCAATGGTGATCCAGAGTACCATTTCTTAAGTGGAGCTTTCATTTAGTTGTCTCATTTGTTGGCATTGTTTCACAGTTTTTGTGGTGTATGTATCTGTAAACATGTATCTAATTGTCTCAGAGAAGTTTGCAGCAGATGACAATTGTCTTGTATGCAATATATCGGTTGTCCAATGTTATAAATGACGTCTGTCGAATATCAATAGAATGTCCTCCGACTGGTAAAGATAAATATCGACTGTCACATATTTGAGCAAATGACGGCACTCCATTACTGATATCTGTGCCTCTGGAGACTGTTGTGCGCCGGCCTGATGCTGATCAGTATATAACTAACTAATTGGAACCTGCTCCCCTACAGATTGTTGTGCGTCGGCCTGGTTCTAATCGGTACGTTCAAACTTCTGGTCGGCCTGCTCGGCTGTCTCGGAGCCGTCAAACAGGATTACTGCATAGTCGCATTTGTAAGTAACAACCAGTGACGTACCCAAGGGGGGGCCACGGGGGCCATGGCCCCCTTCTGAGCGCCGAAGGCGCTCAGGGGGCCCCTCAGGCCCCGGTATATTTTTTTCAAACACTGGATAAAACGTCTTTTACTTGGAAGAAAAAAAGATATCAAAGTTTCATTTATGTGCCCCTGGTTACCCGAGGGGCCCCTGATGACCCGATGGGCCCCTGCAGTCATCCGAGGGCCCCCGGTTTCCTGGGCCCCTGGTCGCCTAGGGGGCACCTGGTAGCCGGGACCTGGTCGCATGGGGCCCCTGATTGCCTGGGGTCCCTAGTCGCCTAGGGGGCCCTGGTAGCCGGGGGGCCTGGTCGCATGGGGGCCTCTGGTCGCATGGGGCCCCTGATCGCATGGGGCCCCTGATCGCCTGGGGCCCCTTGTCGCCAAGGGGGCCTCTGGTAGCGGGGCCCCTGGTTGCCTGGGACCCCTGAGGGCCCCTGGTTGCCTGGGGGCCCCTGGTCGCCTGGGGGCCCCCGGATGACCTAAGGGCCCCTTCGGAAGCAGGTGGCCCCCTCCTGGGCGAAATCCTGGGTACGTGCCTGGTAACAACCGGCTTAAAACGAAATATAACCTTTCAGTGCAAGGTAGTTTTACGTTATAAGTACAAATTTGGTATAAATAAATGGAAAATGCCCATTACCTTCTGATATGTCACTTCCCAGCCAGCAATTCACTTGGGCTGAACTGTGGCAAACGTCGGGCAGCTTGGACTTAGCTTGGGTTTGCCCACTTTGATCAAAACCAATGTATTTTTTACTAGGGCTGAGCTGGGGCATGCCGCAGCTATGCCCACGTGCGGATAGCAGTAGCTCAGCCCGACATCTGCCCGCGCATCCAAAACAGGCTTAACTTGGGCGGAGTGCGGGCTGATCAAGCTGGCTGTGTCCTTCGGCTAACTGGAGTAAAGCCGGAGCTTAGCCATACTTGTTCGGCTGTTCGCGCATGCGCAGTTCTGCGCCAATCATGTGCAGCGTTTGTGACAGTCCGCGCGCTGTGCGACGAAACGACACACCGGTGTTGGGGCATTTAGTGGTTGATGTTTGGGCGCGTGTGACAGCGCGAAGAAGGGATAGTGCTCATTGCTCTTATCAATTGGACTGGCATGGAGTTTTACGGTAGGTAGGTGTATTGAATGGTGCGCTTGATCGTATGTAAACGTTAAACGTCATGATTTTGACTGAGTTTCACGCCATCAAACATGGAGCTAAATAGCTGTTCAGCCTGGCGACTTACACCATCGCTCAGAAAAGCCACATTCCGTGCCTTTATAGCTTTGTGAAATACCAGTACTTCTGAACCAGGAAAATGAAATACAAAACACAAATATGTATCTACTTATCACCGAGCACGCTCATTCTGTGTCCGCGTTGAGAATCGAATGAACATTTTATACGGATCAATGAGAAGTGCTCTTACAGTATAAATGCAACATTAAGTTAGGTGCTTTTTCAAGCAAACATGCAATGTAAATTAAACCAATTAATCTTTTTTTCAGGTACGTACCATTAGAGCAAATGGTTCCAAAAAATAGAATAGTTACACAAATCAGGACCGGGTGGACGCCGCAGTCGCCCTCGCCAAGTGGTTTAGCGGAAACTGCCTGCTTATAATTAAGTAGGTACTAGGTATACCTACATATACGGAAACTGCGCCGAAAGCTGGCCGACCACCTACTGCAGATGTGTGTGTGTGGAGGAGCCAGACGCCATGTCCATCAAGTTAGCGTCGTATTCGTATTCGTTTTCAGCGTCGAGTTCAAAACATCGCCAAACTATACCAAACGATAGATCTTGACACGCCGATTCCAAAAATATCACTCATTTTTCCTAGGTCAAATATTTTGACCTCTAGGGGCAAAAAACCACTCTGGCTATAAACAACAATAAAGTACTTCTTTATTTACCGTCCGATCGGGCTGAAACTTACACAAAACATGTGCCGCCACACAAGGATGCGTCACAATCAACAAAATCGCCGATCGAGGTCAAAGGTCAAGGTCATATTTGCGAAAAACCGTTATTTTTCGACGGGGTACCAAATAAAAACTTTATTTACCGTCCGATCGGGCTGAACCTTACACAAAACATGTGCCGCCACACAAGGATGCGTCACAATCAACAAAATCGCCGATCGAGGTCAAAGGTCAAGGTCATATTTGCGAAAAACCGTTATTTTTCGACGGGGTACCAAATAAAAACTTTATTTACCGTCCGATCGGGCTGAAACTTACACAAAACATGTGCCGCCACACAAGGATGCGTCACAATCAACAAAATCGCCGATCGAGGTCAAAGGTCAAGGTCATATTTGCGAAAACCGTTATTTTTCGACGGGGTACCAAATAAAAACTTTATTTACCGTCCGATCGGGCTGAAACTTACACAAAACATGTGCCGCCACACAAGGATGCGTCACAATCAACAAAATCGCCGATCGAGGTCAAAGGTCAAGGTCATATTTGCGAAAAACCGTTATTTTTTGACGGGGTACCAAATAAAAACTTTATTTACCGTCCGATCGGGCTGAAACTTACACAAAACATGTGCCGCCATACAAGGATGCGTCACAATCAACAAAATCGCCGATCGAGGTCAAAGGTCAAGGTCATATTTGCGAAAAACCGTTATTTTTCGACGGGGTACCAAATTAAAACTTTATTTACCGTCCGATCGGGCTGAAACTTACACAAAACATGTGCCGCCACACAAGGATGCGTCACAATCAACAAAATCGCCGATCGAGGTCAAAGGTCAAGGTCATATTTGCGAAAAACCGTTACTCTTCGACGGGGTACCAAATAAAAACTTTATTTACCGTCCGATCGGGATGGAACTTACACAAAACTTGTGCCGCCACACAAGGATGCGTCACAATCATAAAAATCGCCGATCGAGGTCAAAGATCAAGGTCATATTTGCGAAAAACCGTTATTTTTCGACGGGGTACCAAATAAAAACTTTATTTACCGTCCGATCGGGCTGAAACTTACACAAAACATGTGCCGCCACACAAGTATGCGTCACAATCAACAAAATCGCCGATCGAGGTCAAAGGTCAAGGTCATATTTGCGAAAAACCGTTATTTTTCGACGGGGTACCAAATAAAAACTTTATTTACCGTCCGATCAGGCTCAAACTTACACAAAACATGTGCCGCCACACAAGGATGCGTCACAATCAACAAAATCGCCGATCGAGGTCAATGGTCAAGGTCATATTTGCGAAAAACCGTTATTTTTCGACGGGGTACCAAATAAAAACTTTATTTACCGTCCGATCGGGCTGAAACTTACACAAAACATGTGCCGCCACACAAGGATGCGTCACAATCATGAAAATCGCCGATCGAGGTCAAAGGTCAAGGTCATATTTGCGAAAAACCGTTATTTTTTGACGGGGTACCAAATAAAAACTTTATTTACCGTCCGATCGGGCTGAAACTTACACAAAACATGGGCCGCCACACAAGGATGCATCACAATCAACAAAATCGGTGATCGAGGTCAAAGGTCAAGGTCATATTTGCGAAAATCGTTATTTTTCGACGGGGTACCAAATAAAAACTTTATTTACCGTCCGATCGGGCTGAAACTTACACAAAACATGTGCCGCCACACAAGGATGCGTCACAATCATGAAAATCGCCGATCGAGGTCAAAGGTCAAGGTCATATTTGCGAAAAACCGTTATTTTTCGACGAGGTACCAAATAAAAACTTTATTTACCGTCCGATCGGGCTGAAACTTACACAAAACATGTGCCGTCACACAAGGATGCGTCACAATCAACAAAATCGCCGATCGAGGTCAAACGTCAAGGTCATATTTGCGAAAAACCGTTATTTTTCGACGGGGTACCAAATAAAAACTTTATTTACCGTCCGATCGGGCTGGAACTTACACAAAACATGTGCCGCCACACAAGTATGCGTCACAATCAACAAAATCGCCGATCGAGGTCAAAGGTCAAGGTCATATTTGCGAAAAACCGTTATTTTTCGACGGGGTACCAAATAAAAACTTTATTTACCGTCCGATCAGGCTGAAACTTACACAAAACATGTGCCGCCACACAAGGATGCGTCACAATCAACAAAATCGCCGATCGAGGTCAAAGGTCAAGGTCATATTTGCGAAAAACCGTTATTTTTCGACGGAGTACCAAATAAAAACTTTATTTACCGTCCGATCGGGCTGAAACTTACACAAAACATGTGCCGCCACACAAGGATGCGTCACAATCAACAAAATCGCCGATCGAGGTCAAAGGTCAAGGTCATATTTGCGAAAAACCGTTATTTTTCGACGGGGTACCAAATAAAAACTTTATTTACCGTCCGATCGGGCTGAAACTTACACAAAACATGTGCCGCCACACAAGGGTGCGTCACAATCAACAAAATCGCCAATCGAGGTCAAAGGTCAAGGTCATATTTGCGAAAAACCGTTATTTTTCGACGGGGTACCAAATAAAAACTTAATTTACCGTCCGATCGGGCTGAAACTTACACAAAACATGTGCCGCCACACAAGGATGCGTCACAATCAACAAAATCGCCGATCGAGGTCAAAGGTCAAGGTCATATTTGCGAAAAACCGTTATTTTTCGACGGGGTACCAAATAAAAACTTTATTTACCGTCCGATCGGGCTGAAACTTACACAAAACATGTGCCGCCACACACGGATGCGTCACAATCAACAAAATCGCCGATCGAGGTCAAAGGTCAAGGTCATATTTGCGAAAAACCGTTATTTTTCAACGGGGTACCAAATAAAAACTTTATTTACCGTCCGATCGGGCTGAAACTTACACAAAACATGTGCCGCCACACAAGGATGCGTCACAATAAAAAAAATCGCCGATCGAGGTCAAAGGTCAAGGTCATCTTTGCGAAAAGTCGTTATTTTTCGACGGGGTACCAAATAAAAACTTTATTTACCGTCCGATCGGGCTGAAACTTACACAAAACATGTGCCGCCACACAAGGATGCGTCACAAGCAAATATGACCTTGACCTTTGACCTCGATCGGCGATTTTGTTGATTGTGACGCATCCTTGTGTGGCGGCACATGTTTTGTGTAAGTTTCAGCCCGATCGGACGGTAAATAAAGTTTTTATTTGGTACCCCGTCGAAAAATAACGGTTTTTCGCAAATATGACCTTGACCTTTGACCTCGATCGGCGATTTTGTTGATTGTGACGCATCCTTGTGTGGCGGCACATGTTTTGTGTAAGTTTCAGCCCGATCGGACGGTAAATAAAGTTTTTATTTGGTACCCCGTCGAAAAATAACGGTTTTTCGCAAATATGTCCTTGACCTTTGACCTCGATCGGCGATTTTCATGATTGTGACGCATCCTTGTGTGGCGGCACATGTTTTGTGTAAGTTTCAGCCCGATCGGACGGTAAATAAAGTTTTTATTTGGTACCCCGTCGAAAAATAACGGTTTTTCGCAAATATGACCTTGACCTTTGACCTCGATCGGCGATTTTGTTGATTGTGACGCATCCTTGTGTGGCGGCACATGTTTTGTGTAAGTTTCAGCCCGATCGGACGGTAAATAAAGTTTTTATTTGGTACCCCGTCGAAAAATAACGGTTTTTCGCAAATATGACCTTGACCTTTGACCTCGATCGGCGATTTTGTTGATTGTGACGCATCCTTGTGTGGCGGCACATGTTTTGTGTAAGTTTCAGCCCGATCGGACGGTAAATAAAGTTTTTATTTGGTACCCCGTCGAAAAATAACGGTTTTTCGCAAATATGACCTTGACCTTTGACCTCGATCGGCGATTTTGTTGATTGTGACGCATCCTTGTGTGGCGGCACATGTTTTGTGTAAGTTTCAGCCCGATCGGACGGTAAATAAAGTTTTTATTTGGTACCCCGTCGAAAAATAACGGTTTTTCGCAAATATGACCTTGACCTTTGACCTCGATCGGCAATTTTCATGATTGTGACGCATCCTTGTGTGGCGGCACATGTTTTGTGTAAGTTTCAGCCCGATCGGACGGTAAATAAAGTTTTTATTTGGTACCCCGTCGAAAAATAACGGTTTTTCGCAAATATGACCTTGACCTTTGACCTCGATCGGCGATTTTGTTGATTGTGACGCATCCTTGTGTGGCGGCACATGTTTTGTGTAAGTTTCAGCCCGATCGGACGGTAAATAAAGTTTTTATTTGGTACCCCGTCGAAAAATAACGGTTTTTCGCAAATATGACCTTGACCTTTGACCTCGCTCGGCGATTTTGTTGATTGTGACGCATCCTTGTGTGGCGGCACATGTTTTGTGTAAGGTTCAGCCCGATCGGACGGTAAATAAAGTTTTTATTTGGTACCCCGTCGAAAAATAACGGTTTTTCGCAAATATGACCTTGACCTTTGACCTCGATCGGCGATTTTGTTGATTGTGACGCATCCTTGTGTGGCGGCACATGTTTTGTGTAAGTTTCAGCACGATCGGACGGTAAATAAAGAAGTACCTTATTGTTGTTTATAGCCAGAGTGGTTTTTTGCCCCTAGAGGTCAAAATATTTGACCTAGGAAAAAATGAGTGATATTTTTGGAATCAGCGTGTCAAGATCTATTGTTCGGCATAGTTTGACGATGTTTTGAACTCGACGCTGAAAACGAATACGAATACGACGCTAACTTGATGGACATCCAGACGCCTCCAAAAGTCCAAAGCTCCCATTCACCAGAGTGAAGTTCCTTATAAACGATTGTTTGCTAATTGCTTTATGTCTTATGAGCGATTACTTGCTGTCCTTACTTTATCGCATGCTTTCGGTTGAGTGTTCAACCAAGTATTATGAACGGTGAGGGAGGCTAGCGGGCCTTGTGATTGTTTTATAGTTTTGATGGCGCTTTTTCATGACTTATGCCATATTATTGCTGCAGTGTGCAGTCCACTGTTTCATGTATTTGTGTTTCATTTGACGTGTCTGTAGTCGTTCGAAATATACATTCAATCAAAGTCAACCATTACTTTCCTTTCGCAATGCTCGATGACCGGTTAACAGAGCATATGAGTGACCGTAGCAATTTTAAATATGCATTAAAACCGCACAACCTGCTGAAAGTGCATTGGCTACTCCTTGCTACTTGATCCAGTGTGAAGCAAAAGCAAGATGAAGTCAAGTCGAGACTTGAGAAAACAGGAGCCGTCACTCGAGCCGAACCCGAGCAAAGCCACAGCAGTTTGCAATGTATAAACCCCATTCACTTCTATGGCTTAAGTCGGGATAGACAGGGCACACAGAGTGGGCTTGCCGGAGTTCAGCCCGCTCGGGCCCAGAGTAATCTCAATTATATAAATGGATTCACTGCTCGGGCTTAAATCGGGCTAACGCCAATCGTCGCTCAACTAGGGCTAAACTACGGCTGTCCGGAGCTCGCAGAGCGGGCATACCTCCGGCAGAGCATGGGCTTTAGTCGGCGTTTTTGTGTCATACGCCGACTTTAGCCCAAGCCCTAGCCGACTTTAGCCCGACTAAAAATCTCGGGCAATCCGCACTTGAGCCTGCTTGGGCCCGGAGCAAAATTGCTGGCTGGGTTATTGCTCTCGCTTAAACAAAAGACAATGTTACGATGGTTTTATGAAAATGAGAGGAATACGTATTGATTATGTTGATTGTGTTCAAAAGACATGAGAATATCTTCATGAACTTCAATCCAGACAATGACTTTATGTGTCCTACTCCCAATGAATTGTGCCTATTAGCCCGTCTCTGACGTCGGCAGTATTTCTGTTTCGTGTCGATCACGATGTGCTCCGAGAACTGACCCGGCTCTGCCGCCGCGTCCGTCGCCAGTATTTCTGTTTCGTGGCGATCACGATGTGCTCGGAGATCACGGTGGGCGCGTTCAGTCACGTGCACCAGCAGCGAACGGACGCGGCGCTGGCGCACACTCTGGGCAGGAAGCTGGCCAAGTATTACGGCGTGCCCGACCGCGGACAGGAGACCATGGCCATCGACTTCGCACAGTACAAGGTACGCCTCTGTGTGCAAGCGCATATCGATTGGAGTCCTTATATCTGCATTTGTTTGTATTTACCTATGCCATTTGTGTTCTTTTGTCTTGTCTAATTTGAAAGAATCTCGATGTTTGTTTTACTTTCATTGATGAATGAGTTTGTAATCATGCACTGTTCACCGTTTGTACTCATGACGGAAGAATGACGGGATAATGTTAATTGTTAACCCTCGCACGACCAGGCCATTTCTCATAACACGAACGACCAGGGGGGGGGGGTTGTTACGACCCCCCCCCCTGGCGTTTCGAAACGGAAGGTCGTAGAGCTTAGCGGAAAAAACCAACGGATTGCTCTCAACAAGATCTCGCGATTGGTGGTATATTTTTTGGTCCTAGGTCAACATTTGACCTACTTTTGACCGGTCAAAGGTAAAATTTTCGGAAAAATAGACTTTTTTCAACTTTCGGCGGCGATTGCGGCAAAACGGTTGGAGATATCGGCTTGAAATCTTCACTATCGTGTTCCTTGATCAATTCTCTATCGTTTGGTATGTATTTCGTTTCCCTAGCTCTAAAAATGGCGCGTTGGGAGCGCCGGAAGTCGGCAAGGTCACAGTCGGCGGCAGAAATTCGAAAAATCAAAATTTAAATTTTTGAAATCTGATTGTATTTTTGGATTTGGGAGGTCCATTTGCTCCATATAGAAGCTAATATTGCTGCATATTCCCATTGAGGTGACAAGAATTAGCAAAATAGTGGTTCGGGCGCTTTTCAAAAATAGTACCGGACGCTGTTCCTCTTGTGACGTCATAGCTCCGTGACCTGACCTGACCCGGTCAAATTTCTTATACCATATGATAGCCAATACTTGCCCCAACATGCATGGAAAGTTTCATCACGATCCATCAACCGATGTCCGTACCACCGGCAGGAAACCTCGGGCGTTGGCACTCAGTTTGTGAAAATCCGGCCGGAGGCTGTACCTCTTATGACGTCATAACTCCGTGACCTGACATGACCCGATCAATTTTTTTTCGGCAAAAGATGCGCAAAGGTTGCCCCAGAGGGTATTGAAAATTTCAGCCCGCTACGACAAGCCGTTTAGCGTGCACTTCGAAAAAACCTCAGGGGGGGTTGATACAACCCCCCCCCCCCCAGGCGTTCTAGGGTTAATAGTTCAGGCACTGAATATGAGTCTTCGGCTTTTACACTACAGTCTTGTCGCAGACTATATATTCCGTGGTTCAGGTATGTAATTTTTACGTAAAGCCAGTCAATTATTTGACAAGTTCAAAGCGAACAACAATGAATCATGGCATTCTTATTAAGCTGCCTGCGTGCTTCTTTATGCAGTTTCAGTGCTGTGGCGTGCAGAAGGTATACACTGTGTGCCGCAGTTTCAGTGTTGTGGCGTGCCGTCGCTGTTACACTGTGTGCCGCAGTTTCAGTGCTGTGGCGTGCAGTCACCCTCCGACTACAACTACTCACGGTGGCGTGTGGAGGAACTGGGCGGCGCCGAGCTGCGCGTACCGCTCACCTGCTGCACGCTGCGGGAAGACGCGCCGCAGCCGTACCGTAACCCGCACCCCCGCGACCCGGAGATGTGTCAGAAGAGGGACCCGCTGCAGCATCACAGCCAGAGGCACACGCAGGTTAACCGCACTGGTCCACCTCTGACAGACAGCGACTGGTGCTCTGATAGCCAACCCTACTCCAAGCAGATTACATTCAGACATTTATTCAAGCTATTTATTCGAAATAAACCAAAATAGATGGTCCGGATGTTCCATACAACAGTTTGGCGTTATTTGGGATCACAAGCGGTTCTTTCATCTCACTGCTGAGAACTGAATAGGTAGGTACTGAACACAGGGAACGAAAACGCTCTGGAAGACTAAAAACAGGAATCATAGGCACTGATCTATTATTATCGAGCACTGGTGTTACCCATTCGAGTCACCGGCCTCGTTTCATAAGCGAGTCCGTAACTTACGGCGGTTTTTGGTCTTGTATTGCAAGGGCATGTGAAGCGATGACGAGAGCTTGAATCGTTGAATTTATTTATCTTGCAAGCAAGAACAGAAGGGAGAATGTAAAATAAATGTATCGCTTCACTTGTTTGTTTTTGTTTTTGTTTTGTTGGGTTAGGCCCTTTCGGTCCAATGGGACCATTTCAGAGCCGGCAGGATGATAGGATGTAGGGGGAGACATTGGTCTGGGCAGGCACCCTAGTGAGTCACCGGGGCTGAGCCCGTCCAGAGGACAGGCCACCCAGCCCCAAGGTACTCACTGCACCCGGCTACGGGGTGCGCTCCCTCGGGAGCAGCGGTGCCGCTCCAAGGGAGCAGCCCGCATGAGATAAAGTTGCCTGTCCAGCCCGGAAGGGGGTTGCGGCGTGGAGGAGAAGGATTTCAGTATCCTGAGGATAGAAGCACGGAACGGTGATCGTATCGCTTCAAATACACTTGCAATACAAGCCCAAAAACCGGCGTAAGTTACGGACTCGCTTTATGAATCGAGGCCACCGACGCCAAAGCCACTGCCCAGTGACATCGGATGGATTTCTTGCAGGGTTGTCTGCAGGGGATAGCGCGGTGGCTGGACCGAGAGTCGACTGTGCTGACATCTGTCGGCGTGGCCACCGGCTGCGTGGACCTCATCTGCGCCGTCATCACCCTGTGCTGGTGTCGGCAGATCAGCGCCAACAGAGCAGTGAAGCGGGAAGCCTGGGAACTAACGCTTTGATATAGATGTCGCGGCTGGTGGTTGACGTCCAATGCTGTTTCTTGCGTGATTTATTTGCTAAAATAAACAACTTCTTGGGAAAAAGCGCAAACTTGTGTTAATTCAAGGATGATTCAACGGAAAATTAATGAGATTTTTCTCTTTGAACCTCGCCGCCACGCCGCCACATGACCGAAGGAAAATGTAGAGGTCAGGTAAAATTTTTCCTAGCAAAGGATTTGGCAGCGTTTTGTTCGATTTGGCTTCAATCAATTTGTTTCAAAACCAGCGCGTCATAGACGTTTGATTCTTCAGACCCGCCGTCAAAATTCGTGTGTGCTGTTCATGGACACCTGCGGTAACTGCGGTAGCTGCGGTAGATCGCAGGCTGTAAGTCCCGCCCACTTGTGCGCACGTCATCACGCGTTCGTCTGAGGCGGCCGTGTCAATTTTCCGCCCAAGTTACACGAATGCGCAACTGCCGCGCCACTTTGCATGACAAATGGTTCCTGCGGCCGCTGCGGTCGGATCGTTTCGACCGCAGGAGACGCAGGCGACCGCAGCCGGCCGCAGCCGTATGACGTCACACCACCCGCCCCATCCCCACTTTCTGTGACGTCATTACCCGGCTGACCGCCGAGCCGCAGCTACCGCAGCTACCGCAGGTGCCCATGAACAGCACTCAGGCAGTTTACATTTGTTTTTGATCGCGGGTGGTTGTTGTCGTGGTGCACTGTTCCTATTTTTGAAGTGTCATTGCAAGGAGAAAAACTGTTTTATCATTATCCTAATATTCTGAATATTGTGCTGCTTAGATCGTAAAGGTGGAGCAATGGCTTCACAACTTCTGAAAGGAAGAAATGTTCTGGCCCTAAAGTCTTTGCTTCCCAAACAAATAATTCCATCATTTTCCGGAGCTGCTTTTGATGGAAGCAAGACAAAGAGGCCTACACCTTCAGTTGCCTATGGTTCAAGATCTCTGACAACGACTAAGTATGCTTCACCACCGGAATGCACTGGTGCTGGCTTTTGCTCTCATTCTTTTCAAAGATGGTGAGGCTTCTTCCGCATCTGCATGTCTGTGTCTTTCTATTCCTCTACTTCCTGAGTGTATATCTGATCTATTGAATTGAGAATCAGTGTGACAATACCACATCACAAAAAAACATTATGTTTGTGATTGTAAAGCAGGTTATACCTAACTATTAAAGACGTCCATTATTTCAATTATGTTGTATTCAGCTGATATTGTTAACCAGAGGTTTTGAACTTCCCTGTTACTTACATATCTATTCAGGAATCAAGATGAGACCAAATGTATTGGTTTCAAGATGTATTCAAGTTGCAGCCCTGAATTTCCATATAATTGATTGCATTTGGTCAGCTCAAATCTCAAATTACAATTATTTTGATCATGATTCATGATTCATGATCCAAGACTTTCTTCAGCCAGGGGCTAAAAGCTAATAATGCAAGAGTTTAACATCAGAGATTGCAGTGATCATATCAAATCATTATTCCATTTAGATCATTCAAACATCAGAGATTGCATAAGTCTTAGATCATTTATGGTGTCAAAATAACAATTTCTACATTTCCCCAATGAATTATAATGGCAAGGTCATGTGACCAATCTGTCCTCAGGTGACCCTTAAAAAGAGACCTGGGAGATGTAAAATGCAAGGCCTTGGGAGGTTACTAAGTCCTGTAAGTTTCATCTTCCTTGAGCAGTCCTCTGGCACTGAGGGCTTTGCAAAGTTGTGACATTTTAGGGTCATGCAGAGGCTCACTTATGACTTCATATTTAGCGACCTGACCAGGCCTGAAAATATTGTGAATCTCACAATGTCAGCTTGAATCAAAGGTCAAGTGTGTCATTAATTCAGCTGTCCACCCAGCGTGTTCTGAAGGATCCCTATAGATTGTCTCTCAGTCATCCAAATTGGTCTGGGCCGTATCTGGTTTTACTAGATGGCCAGTTCCGGCCTCCGGCACTTCCTCTGGCCGAAGTATGGGCAAAGTCTGGAGCTCTACTGGAGCTGACACACGATCCCGGATCCCAGAGCTCGCCCGCACCACAGCCGGACTTAGGCAGCATCAGCCGTGCCATACCTCAACCGTGAACCGTACTTCAGCCCACTCTAAATTGCTTGACAAGCTCGAGCTGCACGGCATTGACACTGCCTGGTTTCGAAATTATCTTGACGGTCACACGCAAAGCGTAGCCATCTCTGCCTCACAGAGCTCCCCTCCGCTCAACATTAGCCAGGGCGTCTTCCAGGGGTCATCTTTGGGTCCTCTCTTGTTAAGCATCGTCGTTACCGATCTTAGCTTGTACGCTGGCGACTCTTTTATCATTCAGTACGCCGATGACACCCAGGTTTTAGTCTCTGGACACAAGTCCGAGCTACCTGACCTTATCTTAAAACTCGAGGCATCTCTCCAGTCGCTTGGTGATTACTTTCATTCGAACGGTCTAAAACTTAACGAGTCAAAATTCGAGCTACTTCCTATCGGCTCACGTCAAAATCTGCGAGACCTCCCACCGTTCACGGTCAAGTTTCGGCAAGCCGTGCTATCACCTTGCACTGAAGCAAAAAATCTCGGTGTCACTTTTGATCGCCATCTCACTTGGGACTCGCACGTATCGCAACTGTCACAGAAGTGCTTCGGCATCCTTATCGGTCTCTCCCACATCCGCCACTACCTACCATCCGGTACTCTCCCAATCCTTGTGTCTGCCCTCGTCCTTTCCCACGTCCGCTACTGCCTCTCCGTCTGTGGCAACGGGTCTGCCAAGAACCTCGCCACCATCAACAAATTTCTAAATTTTGCGGCCCGAATCATCTCCGGCAAAAAGAAATTCGACCACATCTCCTCTGTCCGTGCCTCCCTCGGCTGGCCGGACCCCTCCACTATGGTTCAAGCCCAAACCCTAAACATCCTACACAAAGCTAGACGAACAGGTCAGCCCGAGTCACTAGCTGCACTATTTGCCACTAATGCCGAGCGTCCAGACCGTAGCCGCAGCACCAGGCAGGACCACCTGCTTAGTCTTTCCCGCATACACGACTCGGCTGCGGGGAAGCGGCAATTCGTGTACCGCGCTGCCGCAGGCTATAACGCCCTACCACGCGAGTTCTGGGACATGTCCACCTCGATGTTTACCAGCAAGGTCTTAGAACTCTTATCTTCGGTGACATGAGCTGACACGTCGCTGTAACCGCTTTTAGCTTCTGCATCGTGTGTGTAGTGTGGTTTATGTGTGCTCACTTTTTATTCTCATCATTGCATTTCTTAGCGTGTGTTGACTCTGACTCGAGAATAGCCCTGTGATTCCGATCTCATGAAGGGATGAGTCTATGACGTAAATACAATACAATACAATACAGCCACAGTAAGCCAGAGCAGCTACGAGGCAGCCGGACCTGGCCGTAGCACGCCGTGGCAGCTGGAGCCGGACTTGAGCCGGACTTGGTGGTCCGAAACCATACCAGCTCCGGAGCGCTACGGCAAAGACTGGCTAACCGGAATGGAGCCATATCGACCCAAAGCCCCTGTTCGGATGGCGTTCCATGGCCCAAATCTAGCATGTCGCAAGTGCCGGAGAAAAGCGGACTTGGGCCAAACCAAATGACTGGGCTGGTGGATGGCGCCTGCCCCCCCCCCTCCGGCTTCCCCCTTTTCACCGTGCAACGTCCATAATGCATTGTTCGTGCTTATTTGCTTAAAGGTAGTGTGCCAGCTTTCCTGGACCGTATGGAGTTAATGGCCCAGATAAGGAGAACCGGATTTTTAGAACTTATCCATACCTTCAAAACTCATGGAAACGTCTTAAATTCTTCAAATTTTGAGTACCCCAGTGCGAAATTCGCCCCGACGGGTTGTCGGTCGTACCCCAACCACATTTCACACCACTATGAACAATAAATGCACACACTGAAATCGCTATTACCGATAGGCTCATCCAATCAAGTTTCGATAAACCCGTTCATCATCATCTCCTGCGGTTTCGAACACGCCTGTTGGTGGTGCGGTAGACCGCGCCCAAAGCCAGGGCCCCGGTAACGTGAGGTAGCCGAGTCGTGGCAGCGTGCGCTGACCCAAGCCGGGGCCGCGCGTCCTCCCGGTGTCATGTGATAGCCCGGGGCTGCCCGCGGGGATGCGGTAGACCGCGCCCAAAGCTGCGGCCCCGGCTTGGGTCAGCGCACGCTGCCCCGACTCGGCTACCTCACGTTACCGGGGCCCTGGCTTTGGGCGCGGCTTCTGCTCATACTTTGTGGTGCGGTGGTGGTGCGTCGGGCCGCGCGCTCTGACTTCGGCCAAGAAAAATGCGTCAGCTGATCAATGTCATTTCTGCCACTTGCGTGTGGTGAAATGGGGTCATAACTTAAGAGACGGCTTTTTCATATCAATTATTTTACATGAAATCATACTTCAAACCATAAATAATGTTCGACAGCCAAATAAAAGAAACAATACCAATACAGGCTTACAGTTTAAGGCTCGACATTGTGTTGTCTACGATTAGACAGCTGATAACTCATTCCCGTACGTCGTGACTCTTTAATGACCTTTGCTTATTGTCACATGCGCGCCGCATTCGCGATTGTTGCCGACGCCTGTTTGCAGCTCAGCCCACTACAGTTGTTATACATATCGAAAAACCGATAAACTTTTAGGCGAAAAAGGCACTATTCCAGGCCCATTTTTGATTTTTTTTTGCGATATTAGGTAAAAACAGAAGCTTCTTATCCTAGGAAAAATAAAATGGGAAATCTTTCAAAGGTGGCACACTACCTTTAATGTGGTGTCTTCATTTGAGGACATACTAAAATTTGTCAAGAAGTGCACTGCGGTGCATTTATTACTACATTGGCTGGTTTTGCTGCACTACTGCCAGGCAGTAGGTTGTGGCTTTCGTATTCCATGGAGGTGCTGAGGCGCGATCTCCGCCGGCTGTTTGTCAGTGTCCTGCTCCGCCGCCTGCCCCGTTCGCCGACCGGCCCGTTCGGTCCGCCGCGCCGGTCCTGACCGTCCTGACCGTCCTCCGGTCACTGACCTCCCCCCGTCGCGTCTCCCTCCCCCTCCCACCGCCGC